TCTAGAAGGAGGAGATTTCTGACCAGAGAGGGCTCTTTGATCCAGTAGAAAAAGGCAGAATGAGATCCAGGGAGATCCTGAAGCAAGACAAATTTAGGCTAGAAATAAGGCGCACATTTTAACAGTGAGCAGAATTAACTGTTGGAACAGCTGACCGAGGGATGGGACAGACTGTCCTTTACTTGCAATCTTTGGGTCAAGACTGGAAGTGTTTTTAAAAGCTATGCTATCACTTTAACAAGAAGTTATGGGATTGATGGAAAAATTACTGGGTAAGATTCTCTGGCCAGTTCTAGCCAGATCAGACTAGATAATGGCCCTAGAATCTATGAATCATGCTTATTTGTACACATGCTTATGCACACACAGTATCTATTTTACAAGCATACACCCATTATGCTTTTGCACACATGGCCCATCAAGCTTATGTGTACGGCACATAACTTTTAGATGCATGAGCATATGATGTATCTGTGCAGCACTTAACATTTATCCACTGGTTCATAAAAGTTCAGTTACGATGAAAAATGGCAAAAAATGATCAGAAATCCACCCCCCCCCCAATTTATTTGTTACCACAAATCTATTCAAGATAAACCTCACTAGTAAATCTTGCATGGATAGACAACTTGTTTAAAAAATGTGTCAACAAAGAAAGATTCCAAGGGCAGCTTTTAGCAAGAGTACAATCTCAAAGGCTTTTGATTAGAAATACACTGTACGTAGAGAAACCAAACAAAAATGTTACAGAAAATTCAAACTACACTAAAAGAACTTTATGTTTCCACAATCAAACCCTCAAAAAGTTAGGAAATGCCAGCATTAAGGTTGCCTGTGTAATCTTAATTCAGTCCCCTTGTGCATATGCATTAGGATCTTTAATTCCATGATCACAGACAATTTGTACCCGGTCTTTCAATGCCCAGATTGGACCTGCTCAGGGATGAATCAGGGTTGTGTAGTGATAGAGGCTGTTGTCTGTAGGACCCCTGGCCTCATTGATGGCAGAAGTTGGGAGGTGTGCACTATTTGAAGGGTGTGTTTAGGCCTACGCAAAACTAAAGGCCCTCCCCCTTGACCACTATGTCCAGGCTCCAATTAATTACGGGGGATTGGAAGGTTTATAGAGCATGATGCAGGGGCCTGAAGGAAAAAAACAGAGGGTCTTGTGGTGTGAATGCTGCCCTGGAGAACTGGATTCTATCCCTGCCTCTGCCTATGTGATGTAAGCCACTTAACCCGTTGTTCTCCTAGTGGGTCAGTAACTCCGGGTTTCTCATTTTCTGGGTGTCTGATTTGAGACATGGTTTCTCAAAAGGCAGATCGTGCCAAACCAACCTGATCGCCTTCTTTGAGAAGGTAACAGATTTTTTTAGACAAAGGAAATGCAGTGGATCTAATTTACCTTGATTTCAGTATGGCATTTGATACGGTTCCACATGGGGAATTATTAGCTAAATTGGAAAAGATGGGGATCAATATGAAAATTGAAAGGTGGATAAGAAACTGGTTAAAGGGGAGACTACAATGGGTCATACTGAAAGGTGAACTGTCAGGCTGGAAGGAGGAGGTTACTAGTGAAGTTCCTCAGGGATCGGTTTTGGGTCCAATCTTATTTAACCTTTTTATTACTGACCTTGGCACAAAAAGTGGGAATGTGCTAATAAAGTTTGCGGATGACACAAAGCTGGGAGGTATTGCCAATACAGAGAAGGACCGGAATATCATACAGGAAGATCTGGATGACCTTGTAAACTGCAGTAATAGTAATAGGATGAAATTTAATAGTGAAAAGTGCAAGGTCATGCATTTAGGGATTAATAACAAGAATTTTGGTTATAAATTGGGGACACATCAGTTGGAAGTAACAGAAGAGGAGAAGGACCTCGGAGTATTGGTTGATCACAAGATGACTATGAGCCGCCAATGTGATATGGCCGTTAAAAAAGCTAATGCGGTCTT